TCTTTCTTTCTTTCTTTCTTTCTTTCTTTCTTTCTTTCTTTCTTTCTCTCTTTCTTTCTTTAAAGTGAGCACACTGTCACTGTCCTCAGACACACCAGAAGAAGACCTTGGATCCCATTAAACAGGTGGTTATGAGCCACATGTGGTTGCTGGGAATTGAACTCAGGGCCTCTGGAAGAGCAGTCAGTGCTCTTAACTGCTGAGCCATCTCTCCAGCCTAAGAAAACAATTCTAAACAAATAGCAGTGAAGCACAGGGCAGCTATGTGGTTTACTGACTCAAGGGGACACCTTGAAGAATAAAAGAGGTACTGCTAATAATTGAGACAATAGCCCTAGGTTGGAATGCTCTCCTCCAAATGGGACATTGTCATTCTAATCACACATTTTTAGACAGAAGTTCCTGTGACTTTGGAAAAGAAGATTAGAGGTGGAGAAATGGCCAGAATGTTGCATTGCTGACTAACAAACTACCCCAAATTGTATCTTAAAACAGAAGCTTGCAGTGCAATTTAGCTAGAGGGCACTCCAAGCAGCTTCTGTGCCTGCCCCTTAATAAACCACCTGATCTTTTGACCCCTCTGGCAAAGCACCCTGCATGGCACCCTGCACCCATCCAGAACTCGCTCATTCTGCACACCTCTCAAGACTAGGAGGTTTTCAGGGCATCTGGGAAATGGACAGGAGTCCAAATGAAGAGCTCCAAAGCCAGAACCCTGCTAGACGTATGTATAGCTAGAACCCTTCCTTGGTTGTGAAGGACCAAATAAGATCCTTTAATTGCTCATCTAAAAAGGTTATCTCCGCTGGACCCTGGTGGCACATACACTTAGGAGGCAGAGACAGATGGATCCTTTTATGACTTTGAAGCCAGCCGGGTTTACTGAGTGAGTTGCAGGACAGCCAGGACTACACAGAGAAACCCTGTCTGGAAAAAAAAGTCACCACATGTCCCACAGTGGTACATGTACACCCCTAGCATTTTGCTGAGGTTTGTAGGTACTGGATTTTTGTTGGATTTATTTTCCACTCCTGGCTGGTAAATATCTTACGGGTACCATTGTTGGCACATGAAGAGGGATGCCATTTGAGCCCAACACTATTACCATCTGCAGTGGCTAGTCCTCGTTGTCAACTTGACAATATCAAGTGATCTACAGTCCAGAATTGGAAGGCTCACCTGTGATCCTGATCTTGAGGCTGGGAGATACAAGTTTCTGACCTAGATCTTGTCATGGAGATCTTGAGGGATAGTGGCTATAAATCCCAGGAGTCTAAGGCAAGGAGATCTCTGAGCTCAAGGTCATCTGGGACAAAGCAAATCCCAGATCCAGGCGTGGTGGTACACACCTTTAATCTGGGCCACGCCTTCTGCTGGAGACCTACATAAGGACTTTGGAAGAAGGAATGTTCATTCTTCCGTCTGCTTGCCTTGTGGGACCTAGCAACTGCTAGATCCGTGGACTTCCATTCACAGCTGCTGCTGACCATGGTTGGGGAGATGGACTACAGACTGTAAGTCATCAACAAATTCCCTTACTCTATAGAGACTACCCGTAAATTCTGTGACTCTAGAGAACCCCGACTAATACACCATCTTTGTCAAAGCAGTTGTGACCTATTGCATGACACTCAAGATGGCGACCCTGTTTGCATTTCCTTGTAGAAGGCAGGGGTGGAGGGTTATCAGCCTTTACCTGAGACCTCAACCACTCTTGCCTGCATTTCTCTGACAGCTGAGTGTAAGTTTGACTCAGCTGAAGATACTCATGTGGTCTCAGGCGGAGCTAGAGTGTGGAAGTTAAGTGAAGAGAGGGACACCATCTATACAGCACTGGGGAAGTCTTTGCCTGTACGGGTGTGAGCTACACAGTGGGGCAGCTCTTTGTGTCTTACCCGTGAACCTGTAAGAAACTCTAACTCATAAGTTGGCCCAGTTGGCCTTTGGTAGAGAACATTGCTTTCACCTGCTGCGATTCCCTATCTGAGTAAGTAGATTGTTTACATTTTGGCAGGAAAAGTTCACCCAATAGGACTTGTGTTTACTTGGTCCAGACAGCGTTTTGTCTTCAATGTAATGGACCAGTGTGGTAGTTGTTGAGAGGAAAACAGTCCAATTTGCCGTGAATCAAATTGTGACAGACTGGAG